CCAACCTAGTGAAGGAAATAGATATACAAGCCCAAAAAGTGCAGTGAGTCTCAAACAAAATGGACCCGAAGAGGCTCACTCCAAGACACATCATAATTAAAAAGCTAAAGGTTAAAGACAAAACATCTTAAAAACAACAAGAGAAAAGCAGGGGAGCTCCCATAAAACTGTCAGCTGATTTCTCAACAGAAACTTTGCAGGCCAGAAGGGATTGGCAGGAAATATTCAAAGTGAAGAAAAGCAAGAACTTAAACAACCAAGATTACTCTACTCAGCAAAGCTATCGTTTAGAATCAGAGGACAAATAAAGTGCTTCCCAGACAATAAAAAGCTGAAGGACTTCACCAACACTGAACCAGAATTAGAAGGAATCTTAGAGGGACTTTTTTAAGACAAAAAAAAAAAATCAAAAATATGAATTACAAAATGGCAGTAACTACATATGTATAAACAATTACTTTACATATAAATGGATAAAATGCTCCATTCAAAAGATAGAGTGGCTGAATGGATAAGAAAACAAGACCCTTACATATGTTGCCTACAAGAGACTCACTTCAGATCAAAAGACACACACAGACTGAAAGTAATGGAAAAAGAAATTTCATGGAAATGGATACAAACAAACTGGAATAGCAATACTTATATCAGACAAAATAGACCAAAACAAAGGCTATAATAAGAGACACAAAGAAGGACCCAGAAATCCTACTTCCTGGTATTTATCTGAAGCAACCCAAAACACTACTTTGAGGAGACATGTGCATCCATATGTTCATTGCAGCATTGTTTACAGTGGCCTAGATGTGGACGCAGCCTGGGTGTCCATCAATGGATGAATGGATAAACAGGAGATTCATATATACAATGGAATATTGCTTGGCCAGGGAAGGGAATTGGTTCTTGCCATCTGTGACAGCATGGATGGGCCTGGAGGATATTGTGCTGAGTGGAATGTGTCAGACAGAGAAAGATAAATGTCATATTATTTCGCTTATATGTTGAATCTAAAGAACAAAATAAACAAACAGAACAGAAACAAACTCATAGATACAGAGAACATTTTGATGGTCTCCAGATGGGAGGGGGTTTGAGGATGGGTAAAAAGGGGGAAGGGATTAAGAAGTACAAATTGGTTGTTACAAAGGAGTCATGTGGATGTAGGGTATAAATAAGGAATATAGTCAATAATATTGTAATAACTATGTATGGTGTCAGATGGGTAATAGATTTGTTGGGGTGATAGATAGGAGTGATTTGGGGGTAGGGTGAAAAAGGTGAAGGCATTAAGAAATATAAATTGGTAGTTACAAAATAGTCATGGGGATGTAAAGTAGAGCACAGGGAATATAGTCAATAATATGGTAATAACTATGTATAGTACCAGGTGGGTACTAGACTAGTCAGAGGGATCATTTCTTAAATTACACAAATGTCTAATCATATGCTGTACACCTGCAATTAATATAAAATATAATGAATGCCAGCTGTAATTAAAAAATTTTTCAAGTGGGGGAAAAGGTGAAGGGGAGTAAGAGGTTCAAATTTCCAGGTATAAAACAAATAAGTCATAGGGATGTAATTTACAGCATGGGGAATATAGTCAATAATATTGTGATAGCGTAGTACAGTGTCAGATGGTTGCTGGACTTATGGTGATCACTTCTTTAGGTATATAAATGTTGAATAACTATTGTGTACAACTGAAACTAAATATATGCTAACATATATTTTATGTTAACTATATTTTCATAAAAATGTATATAGGAGGAAAAACAAAAAAAATAAAAATGTATGGTTATAAATATCAAAACAAAACAAAAACCCAAAATAGTCATGGGGATGGAAAGTATAGCATAGGGAATATAGTCAATAATATTGTAATAACTATGTATGATGTCAGATGGGTACTAGATTTATTCAGTGATCACTTTGATATGTGTCTAATCACTGTTCTGCACTTGAAACTAATATAATTTCGTATATGAACTATAATTGAAAAATAAATTTTTTAAAAGGAATGTTTTACAAACTTAATATTTGAAATAATTTTTTAAAATTTGGCTGTTAACCATAAGGTTAATTGATTCTTTTCTTCTTGCTCCATTGTGGTTAACATACTCATCCTTCCCTTTAAAGACCCATTTTATTATGCCGATGAAAATAATTGGAAGACTTTGTGTCTGAGCAGGGGCTGCTTTTTGCAGGGGAAGCCATGCACCTGTTCAGCCCTCAGCCCCCACCTCTGCTTCCACTGGCTGCCAAGCTCGAGGCTTAGTGATCCAGATTAGCGGGTGTGGGGTCCTTGAATTTTGACTCACATTTTCTTTGGGACGTATTCTTGTTTTGCCTCATAATTTCTCCTCTCCTGGCTCTCCGCGTGCCAACAGCAGCTGCATCATGGTGCTCACCCTGCTGCCAAGACGGCAGGCGGCCTCCTTAGAGACTGTAACATTGCACTCTAGCCAACTGTTAGGAGATAGAGGCTAGAGTCCCATGTACTGCACCTCTGAAATTCAGGTCCTTCTAGAAGGCATTTGGTAGAACACTTCGTCCATGGTATTTTTGAAGTTCATTTAATTTTTGGAAACGTTTTATTATGGAAAAGTTTCAAACATATACAAAGGTAGAAAGAATGCTGTAGTGTGTTCCCATGTACCGTCCTATTCTCTCCGTTTCAATAATGATCACCTCATATACAGTCTTGTTTCACTGTCCATGCTGTTTTCCCCTCCCAGACTACTGGTAGAGTCATTGCCAGGGGTAAATATCCCTTTAAATTACAGTTGCTTTGCTATCTTCCTTCAGTCTAAGATCTGTTACCTTAATGAGTTCTTAGTCTTTTCTTCCTAAATATAAAAGATATTAGAGTCCTTTTTTCATTCTAAATTAAGCCCAGGTATGCTATTAGTGACTGTCATATTTTCTAATACTGTCCCGTAATTTTCCGAGGCTTCGTGCATTCAGTCAGCCAGACTATCCAAAGCATGTCTGAAGTGTGTAGGATCTTAGCATTAGAGATCACTGAGTTTCATTCTCAGTTTTACCACAGACGAGCTGTGTAACCCAGAACAACTTTCTTAACCTTTCTGTGCCTTAGAGCCCTCTTGTTTTAAACATGGGACTAATAATAGCACACACCCCACAGAGCAGTTTTAAGACATAAGTGAGTGGATACCCAGATGGACCCGAGCACAAAATAAGTGTTCAACATATGCCTGCTGCTGTCACCATCATCGCCATCATTTCTTGTCCCTCCCCAGTCATTTTACAGAATAGGGAACGGAAGCCCAGGTGGGTGAAGTGACCCCCTTCTGGTCATGTGGCAGTTTTATCAGAACTTGAAACAGAAACTACACCTCAGTTACTTTATTATGTTAAATATAGTTTGACATAGCCTTGCCCTCCGGAATTATGTCCTGGCCATTAGAATCGCTTGGAAAAGGGAAGAGGATTAATAGAAGCATGAGCCGAGAAATGCGTAAATATTGCTGCTGGGGAGTTAAACCTTAGAAGGTTTGCGTTTAGAAAGCAAAGTGCTTTCGCGTAGGTGAGATTTCAAGAACGCTTCTCTTTTCAGAAGGGAGATGATTTGGGTAAGTAGACTGGAGATCATTCTGTACCCGAGGAAGAGAGGCAAGTCCAAGTACAGGAAGAGACCAACAGATCTAGGGAACATTTGCACCTGAGAGTAAGAGAGAAGGCGTGACAGAACAGGAGAGGGCAAGGCAAGATTGCTCGAACCCCCAGTGAATGTCAGAAACAAAAGAGATGGAAGGGTCCTAGACTATCGAAAGCCGAAATCGGAGCTGACATTGCTACAATGTCTATTTATTCACTTGCACTTACAAACTTTATCTGACCCACATGTAATCCTATGAAATAGGTCCTATTATTGATCTCATTATACAGCTGAGCCACAGAGAAGCTAAGTAACTTGTCCAAGGCCATGTGCTTATTCATAAGCAGGAGACCTTGAATTTGCATCCAAGCTGCCTGGCTCTAGAATCTCTGCTCTTAAACACAGGCCATGCTGCCCCATCGTAACCAAAGCCCTTGGTACATGCTTAATCTTGAAGAATCCAGCACATGATGAAGCCCCTTTACCAAGGATGGAGCTGTGGCATCATTCCTCCCTGATACCTGTGCTCTCGGCTGACCCACGGAACTGTATTTAAGTCCCAGTTAGGTGTCAGGAGGCAGGCTCTGTCCACTGCATATTGGACCTTTTGTATAAGCTTTGTCTTAACAGGGTGTCGTTCCTTTTGTTCTATTTGCAGTCCTAAGGAAGTACTGCAGTGTTTTACTTTCACATAAAGTTGTAAGACCACTCGTGATAGGGATGTGTTTGGGAACTTTGTTAATATGAAGTCATTCACTAAACAAATATTTCTTGAGAGCCTCTGTTGTATGTGTTGGTTGATGCCTGTGAAGGGAGAAAGGTTCCTCCTCTCCACAATCTCCAGGGATGTTTCCTTTCTTATGACCTCATTAGCATACGAACTGCCATTGTTTTGGCCTACTTACAAAACAGAAAATAAAATCAAGAGAAATTTCACTTGACTCCACATCCCTTTCCAGCTATTGACCCCTATCTCTTCCCATTGATGGCATAATGTCTAGAAAAATGGCCTGTTCTCGAATTTGTCGTCACTTTCTTCCCTCTCATCCTCTTTTTAAACACACACCAGTCAGACTTTCTCCACCAGATCTTCCCCAGCTCTCTGACTCTTATTATATCTCTCTGCCTACTAAGTCCCACTGGGATGTCTGTTAGGCACCTGGAACGTCCAAAACCGAACTCGATGGTCCTGTCCAACCTTGCTCCCCCGACACTCCTCCCATCCCTGTAAATGGAGACTGCGTCCTTTTCGCTCAGGTCCAAACCTCTGGCTTTGTCCTGAGTCCACTCTTGCTGTCATACCCCACCTCCGTTACATCAGCATATCTTGTTGGCCTTACCCTTAAAATGTATCCAAAATCCAACCGTTTCATCTCACCTTTACAGTCACAACCTCAATCCACATCACAATCATCTCTCATTCCCAGCTGGTCTTCCTGCTTCCTCCCCTGGCCACTGTGCTCCCCGCTGCCTCCTGCCAACATAGGAGCAAAAGGGGTCCTTTTAAGACAGCCTAGATATATCTCCTTTGCAACAATGTGTTCTTTTTTTGCTACATGCAACAGTATGGATAAATCTCCTACATACAATGTTGCGTGAAAGAAGCCAGAAACAAAAGAGTTCCTACTATATGATTACCTCCATTTAAAATACAAAAATAGGTAAAACCAATCTATACTGTCAGAAACCTGGATGGTGATGGGAGGCGGGGCCATGGGGTTCTTACTGAAAGAGAGCATCATCAGGGCTTCCAGGGAGCTGGTCATTGCTGGGCCTTGATCTGGGGGCTGGTTGCTTATAGAGGTTTAAGTTGGTTAAAATTTAGCAAGCTGTACACTTACGATGCACCCTTTCCTCTGTGTATTTTACACTTCCATAGAAGTTTTTTGTTTGTTTGTTTGTTTTTAGCTGAGCCATCCTGCTACCTGTTGGCAGCTCAGCGGCTGCTCAGCTCGGGCTGGACGCGAACCACGGTTGCTCAGAGCTCAAACTCTTGAGCGATCTCTTAACCCATAGAAGTTTTTTAAAATTGTTATTTCTTACACAGAATATCATTCTTCTCTAGACTTAGAGGTTTATAAGCAATTATAATGTAAACCCCATACAGGCAAAAATCCTGTCTGCTTTCATCTATTCAGCAAATAGTGAGCACCAGGCACAGATCGGGGCATATGGGATACAGCAGTGAGCACAAGAGACAAAAACTCCTTAAGCTTCCCAGCGAAGATAATCAGAATAAAATCTATAACATGTAACAAGGTGCTAATGACTCTGGAGAGGAAAAAAACAGGAGAGAGAGACGGGAGTGCTGGAGCAAAGGAGGGGAGGTGGGCAGGACACAGTTTAAAGCTGTCAGGAAAAGCCTTACTGAGAAGCTGACCTCTGGGCCAACACTTGGAAGGTGAGGGGAAGGGCCCAGTGTGTATCTGGGAGAAGAGCCTCCTGGGCCGCAGGGGGGGAAAGCAAAGGCCTGAGGCAGAAGCAGGCTGGCGTGCGTGAGCACCGGCAGCGGGGCAGTGGAGCTGAGAGGAGAGCCAGGCAGACTAGCCGGGGATGAGTGCAGAGAGGTACCTGGGGCCAGGCCCCCAGGGCCTCCTAGGCCTCTATAAAGACTCTAAAGTAGTTTCTGCATGAGACCAGGTGGGGTTGGGGAGCCAATGTTTGCCTAAACTGATTTTAGTTGTGTTTCAGCCACTTTGGGGCTTGCAATAGAGTGCTGCTATGAACACCCTAGTTACACGTCTTTTGGTAAAAGATTATGCACAGTATATGAACTTTAAAGGAATTGAGTAAGACATATCAATCCTTATTTGAATAACTTCAGCAAAAGTCAGTCAACCAGTCTATTCTCATGGTACACACTCGAGGTAAATTCTCAAGTATCTATTAGGGTAAGGCAGTGAAGTAGGCAAGGCAGAGAATACACAGACAGGGCAAGTAGACTGCCTGCCCTCAAGGGCGCTAGAGTCTAGTTGGTGATGACTGCATGTGAAACAGCAACTAGCAAGGACACATAGGAAATGCTATATGATATACTAGGCAGCTTGCCCCATGGGCAAGGTCACGTTGGACTGTGTTGTTATAAGATTTCACAAAGAATCTGGTAAATCTGTAGAACCTGAAAGCATACATCCGGTTTAGAAAAGCTGCGGAAGATTTTGCAGACATATCTCGCCTAGGGGAAGAGCCAGAAAACCAGTCTGTGTTTGAGGGGGCCTGAGAGGGTCAGGTTGAGGACTCATATGAAAGCCCAGTAGAGTTTAGATGGATATGTGTCTCAAGTAAAGTAGGCAGCTACATTCTAATCTGGGTATACTTATGCATTCCCCCGTTTCTCAATCATTTTGGTATATTCGTGTCACATTTACCATTACCAATCCTCCAAGTCCATAAGGTCTAAATGATTTAAATATATATGTATTTTTAGACGGGCCAAGGAAACTCATCCCGTGTGACTGTAGCAGGCTCCGAGGCGGAAAATAAGGCAGGCCACACCCTGGAAAGCGGCTCGTTAATGGCCGAGCTCCTGAGCGACGTGCCCTTCACCTTGGCCCCGCACGTGCTGGCCATGCAGGGCACCACCAGTGACCTTCCTGACCACTTACTCACCTATGACATCAGCGAAAACTTATCACGGTTTTGGTATGATTTCACTCTTGAAAATTCAGTGCTCTGTGATTCGTAATTTTTATGTTTGTTTGCGCCGCAACAGCTTTAAAACAAAAGTTGGCCTGTTTAATTTAACCTGTTGGATGTTCTTTGCCATTTCACTGTTTGGAGGCCCTCAGGAGAGCAAAGACCATAAAGCAAAGCCAATAACATTATGTTCATTGCTCTGTGTTTTAGACTAAAGTATATTTGTATAAAAATGGAACTGAAGCTCTACTTCCTTTCCCTCAAATAATACATATAAAAATGAGGCAATCAGGGTTTTATGAAAGGAAAAAAATTCCTTCAACTGAGCTCTCAGAAGATAACACCCCCAGTTTATGTCCAAAGCACTGTGAAAAATAACTGGGGCGCTTTCCTTACTTTCTGCAAGTCTGAAGTCTGCCCTCAGTGTGAGTGGGAATTCTCTCTGGCTTGGAGGAAGCTTGAGTTAATGTAATCCTGTTTCTTCTTCCAAAATATTTATGAATTAATTCAGGTAAGAAATTGTTGCCGGTTAGCTTGATTTCTTCACTCGTGATTTAGACATTGACGTGGAAATTGAAAACTCTTCCTAAGAAGCGGTGGGAGTTTGCTGCCATAAGACAGTTACAACAGGACTCTGGATGCGTCTCTCTGAGTGACAGATGTCAGGTTCCCCACATCCACTGCCGTCCCTCCCACCTTGAATGATCCTGCGTCTCTGCCTGGCTGCTACTTCAGCGTGTGCTCACTCACCAGCTTTTCCAAAGACCTGTCCCGCTCCTGCCTCAGTTGGCATTTGCTTTCCTCCCCACATATGTTCCCAGTTTAGGCAGAGAACCACATTCCCTTTCAACTTCCCTGCCTCCTAAAGAAAAACATCTCATGATGACACACATTATTGCTGATAACACCCTTATTTTTTTGTGGGCCACGATACAGATGGAAATGTTTTATTGCTAGAAAAACTGAAATCAACTCATTTCCAATCAGAGTGTGGGCAGAACACCTAGATATGACTTTTAGTTCTTGAATATCCAGTATTTATTCCAACAAAAACAGAAAAGAACTGCCATTGGTCAATAAGCTGCAAAGGGAAGAGGTAAATTGGAGTACTTTCTGTGCCACGTAAAATTTAAATCACATTTGTTCTGATTAGTAGCAATATGAGTTATTAGCTCTGTGCCAAATTTTTAGTATATGTTTCACAAAAATAGAGTGCCATAGCAAAACTAAACACTGTGCATAAGGGTACATGAATTATTCAAGTTTTAATGTGTTATGCATGTTTGTTTAATAAATGTGACATGGTCTTGATAAAAACGCTACATTATTTAAAAGATAAAGAAACATTTCTATTGACAAAAACATGCTTCATTTACAAATAATGTTACCATATGAGGCAAATGATTAAATTAGATCTCTACACAGTTCTCATAAAACATCAGTCTAGCAAATACGACTTATTACTAACACAAATGTGAACATTTTATACCAGTTTTTGTGAAAACACATCCTTTTGGATATCCATGTTAATGTACCTTAAACCTAAATATAAGCATGTCAGCAATTTATCTAATATATGTTAGATTTTGTCAAATAGTTATACATTTCATTTATATTTATGTCTACCATGTTATAAATATGCTTATATGTCTTTTCATTTGCCTAAAAAGTCGTTATATTTAAATAAATGTAAATTAAAATAAACTGACATTTTGATTAATTTCAGATTCAGAAAAATGGTTTTCTTTGCATTATTCATGTCTGAATGCAAGTTATTGATTCTTTGGGAGACAAATATTTAAGTATATAGTTTGCATAGTGCAGAGCAGAGTAAAGTATGAAATTTCCTCTCATATGTATATTTTAAGAAATAACATTGGGAATGGTAAGATCGCTCACTAGCTCTGGCTTAATAGGACTGGAAAGATTTAGGAGAAATCAAATGAACATCTCTCAATAAAGCCCATCACAAAATTGAGTAAGCACCACTGTTAATTACCTATTTTTAACAAAAATATTATGAAAATGGCCATTTTAATTTTCTTACCCTGTATATAAATCAATGTCACCATTTTAAAACTGGGAGAAACATTAGAAATCAACCAGCCAACTCCATTTTACCCAAGAGAAACTTGAAGCCTAGAACAGTTAAGTGACTTAAGTTACCTAATTAATGATAAATGTTTAATGGTGTTAATAATGATGATATAAATTATAACAAAGCTGAGTGCGCTGGGAGGAATGGTTCACGCATTAGAGGCAGGCAGAATTTGTCGTGGCCCCTCACTTACAAGCTGTGGGACTTGGAGTCAGTCTCCTAACTTCTGGGTCCTTGGTTCCCTTGCTTGTTAAATGGTAATTGTGTGCACCTTGCAGGGTTGTGTTAGGCTTTAGGTGGTGCCTGTCAAATGCCTAGCAGTATAAAGCTTGACACGTCAGAGGTGTTCTGGGCAAGGGAACTCTTGTTATAATTCTCATTACTAACCACACACATACAATAGTCTAATGAAATGCAAAATACATATTAACTGAACTGCTTAAAGGGTGATATAAAAAATAGCTACCCACATTTATTGTAGGTCCCTCCTGCCACATTATTTTTTTCCATATTAAGTGCCTCACTATGAAAAATATTCCTAAAATATGTGGCTTGACTCTTCTGTGATTCCTTGGTTAAGAATCCCATAGGGGACACTTTTTATCCCTATTATCAAGCATCATGGTTTTTGCCTCAATATACGTTATCATTATCAAGTACTATAGGTATAGAATGTACAAATGATTTTACTGAATCTTATTTTTATCCCTAAAATATATGCAGGAAGTTGCATGTATTTTTTGTTTTTCAGCTTTTTAAAATGATATTTGCATCCTTTTCTAAAACCAGAATTAGAGAGGCAATTCTGACCAATTTATTATTCTGGTTAATTAAATTTTGATTAACTGAACTTTTAAAATTGTATCATTAAATGTTAACAAAAGCATGTCTCATGTTAACAATTCTATAAAACCCCACAATCGTTTTTTTAAAGTAAACATTCATTGACACTAACACTTGTTTCCCTTTCTCAGAGTAAAATGATAAAGTGAAAATAATGTAAAAGAAATATATCTTCTAAAATTCTGAGAGATGTGATTTCTTGTAATTTGAAAGGACAAATATACAGTAGCAAAGACATAATCTCATCCTTGTTCTAAAACAGTGATACATCAAAACTTCCCCCCTTACCTCTCATGATAACAACTGATCAATAAATGTACACTGCCCTCAGTAATCTAGCAAAGAATATGTTACCTTCAGAGATTAATACATTGTCTTATTAGTCATGTCATTAATAACATTCACATGAAATTGAGGTGTACTGGATAGGTGGTTGAGGGGATTTACATCTTTTAAAGCCATTGAGAAATATAGATTTGTGGACATTATCTTTTGAGCATTTGTGTTACATTACTAAGGCCATGACCTAAATATTATTCAGAAATCTAACACTCTCAGAATAGTTCTGACTCCATTCAGACGACAGTGGCCTGAAAGATAAAGTATTCTTATGTGTCAGGGAGATGACTCTTTATGCCATATGGGTTGGTGGCTGGGTGTGGGTGAAAAAGAGAGAAAGAAAGATATGTTCTTGATTGATACATAGGAATTCTGTTACAGTCAGCAGAGCAATATGTTAATCATCTTTTTAAAATTTAAATAAACTTAATTGTAGAATTTTAGATTTATAGAAAAGTGAAAAGTAGTGCAGACTTTTGTACACTTCACCCAGTTTCCTCTTTTTGCTACAACTAGGGAGCCAACACTGGGACGTTACTATTAACTAAAGTCCCCATCCATCCAGATTGCAGTTTCCTCCTAATTTTTTTTCTTTCTGTTCCAGCATTCTATCCAGTAGAATACATTGTATTTAGTCATCATATTTACTTATGCTCCTTTAGGCTGTGACAGTTCCTCAGACTGTTTTTGTTTTTGATGACCATAACGGTTTTGTAGATAGAGCATGGTCAGATATTTTGTAGCTGTCCCTCAACTGGGGTTTATCTGATGTTTTCACCTGGTTATACTCATGGTTATGAGTTTTGGGAGTAAGAATACAAAGGTGAAGTGCCCTTCGATGGGATCATATCATATCAAGGGTACGTGCTATCCACCTGATATTACTGCTGATATTAACCTTTATCACCTGGTCAAGGGTGTGTCCACCTGGTTTGTCCACTGTAAAGGAAGTCCCCCCCACCCTTTTTTTGTACCCCACTCTGAGGAATTAAATCACAAAGCCCATACTCCAAGGGTCGGGAATTAAACTCTACCTCTTTGAAGGGTAAGTAGCCACATAAATGATTTGGAATTCTATATGGGAGATATGGCTCTTTTCCCCAACTTATTATTGTTTACTAGATTATATTGGAACTCCAAATCGAAATCAGTGGTGACCAAATGAGAGACATATTTACATTTTTATAAAAGCTAATCAAGAAAATTTAAAACATTTTACATGGTGCAGATGAATACCATTTGATGTTAGATATGATAATACAGTCTATAATTTCCTCCAAATGTATCTTCCTATAAATATCAGCTATATTTCTCAACTTGCCATGAGAACAACTGTATGCACAACAGACCTTTCCTGGAGGGCTATGAGTGTTGCATCGTAAGCGGGGCCCTCTTAGATACTTGGCTTTTCCCTACTTCATTCCCATAACGATTGCCCTTTACATGTAATGTCATTTGTCAGCAAGTGGTGTAGAGGCAAGGTTATAATGTGATCATTTTCCTCTCTAAAGAACGAAGACAATTCATGATGCAAAGAGCTCTTCTCTACAATGAATAAGACTTTTTTTAGTCATAGCAAAAACAAAGTTGTAGCTCCTTAAGTTTCTAAAGAAAGCAACGTTTCATTTTCAACCTTTATGAAACAGTTTTAACAAGCAGCATAAGGGAACTCAGTCTTCTTTCAGAGGGGAGAAGTGCCCAAGAAACTGTTCTTCGTACTTCTGATCGACCAAAACTCAACTGTGCGTTAAAACATGAAGCTGATCTGATGCAATTTCAGTTGGGATTGGCGGGGGGATAGGAGGGGGAGCAAAAGGCATCTTACTTTGTCCTTGGAAGTAACCTGAATATAGTTTTTTTTGTCAAGAATTTTCCCAGTCCCAATTTTCACCCCTACAGAGGGAATAAATTCCTTACAATCAGAGGTAAGGCAGAGCATAATTGCATCCAGAACAGCCCATCAGTACGCTAACTCTGAAACAGCCTACAGACAGCTTGTTAGTTCCAAACCAGGCCAGAGCGGGAGTCAGACAATGGACCATTTCAGAGGTCAGTTAAGGAGACGACCTCCCACTTCGGACTGCTGCCAGGGACGCACAATCCAGTGTCTGACATCTGGGGGCTGCAGCTGCCAAGTCTGCCCCTTGTGTGGCCACAGGTGTTGGCTATAACTCTGAGGCACGTGGAAAAAGGAACAGGGTAATGTCAGTTTCATTGTGGGTATGTGTGTTGATGTGGATGGTTTTTCTTTTGTTTTTGAAAAAGTACATAATTTATTTTCTTTCAAAATTAATGTATTTCTGCATAATGGCAAGGAACGTTCGGGAGGCCAACAAAAAAGAAGCTTTTGTTCATGAACAAGAGCAAAACAAAGCCAAGTTTATACCTACAGGGTACACTGTACTCTTAACGTCTGTGTGTGGCATTGTTAGCTTAATCATTTGCATAGGCCTTCTCAGGACCAAAAAGAAGAAATGGATGCTGAAAAGCAAACAGGCAGTTGGTCTAAGATAAAGCCTCTCCCTATACGATCTCTCCCTGCTCCTTCATCTTTGTTTTAGAACTTGACAAGAATTTGTGTTTAGCAATATGGATTTCTGAGCATGGAACAGACTATCTGGTTTTCTGTCTCACATTGTGCCGGCGTTAACCATCAGCTAACACAACTTGAAACAGCAACACTAAGCTCTCCCCTTCCCCTTGCAGGAGACTTAGCTCCTGTTTGTGAGGCAAATCTAGAAGTTTCTACCTCACCTCAGGTAGGTATCTGACATTCCTAACCCTAAACATATGGGCAGGTGTAGCAATAACGATGATTAAGAGATGAGATTGACACTGGTAAGAACTAGAAGGAAACAAAAGCCAATAGCATTTTTAAAAAATATGTCTATGCCTTCATAATTAAATATATACTTCCTCCTTGTTTTGCCTACCTCATAGCCTGAAATTAGAAATTGAATTTAATGGCGGAGGAATGAATCTTCAGATTTCATCTTCTTCTTGAATCTCTTCTAAGGAGAAATGCTTGACTAATTAGGCCAATGTTTCTCCACCTTTTAAAGCCCGTGTGCCCTGTCATGCTTTTTTTCACTGTGTGTGCTATGTATTCCTCCAGCCAAGAAGATTTTTGACAGGTTTTACTTTATATATTCTATTACAAAGGCAAAAGGTAAATCTAATATGCTTTTTCAGTGTATAGCCACCATCAGTTTCCCTTAACCTATGCTGTCTTGTTGGTGTTCTATCAGATTTATGCTTAGCATGTAATAAATCCTCAATCAAATGTATGAATGATCAATGACATAAATCATTAAATTATCTAGAAATGAGACTCCAAAAGCAAAGGCATAGAATTTAAAAATTTTGGTAGTTTTTCAGGCCCCAGTAAGTTCCCAAATTACCATGCTGTGTTTCCGCGGCTGAAAATAATGCTTAGCTTACCAAG